CTAACCGTAAAAAACTTTCACAGGGCCGTACGCGTTACCCGCGGGTACGGGGAAGCTGAATTTAAATTTACGGGGTCACGCGTGGATGGGGAACGTTCCCCTAAATTTTCAGCTTCCTAGTTTTTGTGGTTCCGAGTTGAAAGTTGCGGACAAGTTGCTGCGGACACACATACACACACACACAAACACACACAGACGAACCCGTGACAATATGCGTTTTGTACTGCTGTTACACAGCACAGAACGCATAAAAAAGTGAATTCATGGATAAAAGCAAAAAAATCCCAGCCTGGAACTCACCAGGTGGGCCGCTGCGATTATGCGTTTTTACACTTCTCGTGCCGTAGCAAGATCCAAAGGAACCACAGTAGCTAAACCTGTGACATACTGGCCCTCGAAGTTCGGGAAGTTAACTGTGCAACTACGTAGTATGTCGGTTGTAGATGTCGGCTTCAGTGACCCGGCAAACGGAAAGGTGCTGGTCAGCAAAAAAGCCACACTAGAAGAGTTAAATTTGAAATCTTTTAGTCGCACCTAAGTAGGGGAAATTCCGTTAAAATTAAAGCCTTCAGCTTATCTCGTTCCCGAATTGGCAGTTTTCCCACCAAAATTTTCACGTGTCCGTACATGATTACCGAACAGTTTTAAGAAGATGAATTTAAAATCTTTTGGTCATACATGAGTAGGGAACATTATCCTAAAGTTCCAGCCTTCTAGCTTTTTTCGTTCCCGAGTTAGTAATTTTCGCGCCAAAACTTCCATGTGCCTGTGCGTGGGCCCCGGGTGCTTCTAAACACCTGATTTTGCTTGTACATAAGTGGGGAATATTCCCTTAAAGTCTCAGCTTTCTAGTTCTTCCCGCTCCAGGATCAGTAATTTTCGCACCAAAATCCACGTGCTCGTACGTGGGCTCGCTTGCTTCTAAACACTTGAATTTGCTCGTATATGGGTGGAGAACATTCCCTTAAAGTTTCAGCTTTATAGGTCTTCCCGTTCCTGGGTTAGAAGTTTTCGCGCCAAAATTTTCACGTGCTCGTACATGGGCCCAGACCGCTTCTAAACACCTGATTTTGCTCGTACATGAGTAGGGAACATTCCCCCAAAGTTTCAGCTTTCTAGCCTCTCCTGTTCCTGGGTTAGTGATTTTCGCGCCAAAATTTCCACGTGCCGGCAAGTGGGTCCCGGGCGCTTCTGAACATCTGATTTTGGTCGTACATGTATAGGAAAAATTCCCCTAAAGTTTTAGTTTTCTAGCTTTTCGCGTCCCCGAGTTAGTAATTTTCGCGCCAAAAATTTTCATGTGCCCATACGTGAGCCCCGGCTGTCCTAAGGGGCTGAGTTTGAAAACTTTTGGCCGCACATGAGTATGGAACATTCCTCCAAAGTTTCAACTTTCTTGATTTTCTCATTCCCGAGTTATGAATTTCCCCGCCACAATTCTCACGTGCCCGTACGTAAACCCCGAGCAGTCCTGGGCAGCTGAATTTGAAACCTTTTTGTCATACGCAGGTAGGGAACATTCCCCCAAAGTTTCAGCTTTCTAGCTTTTCTCGTTCCCGAGTTATCAATTTTCGCGCCAAAACTTTCACGTGCTCGTACACGGGGCCCAGACGTGCGTGAGAGTTGATACTGCGGTCCTGGGGTGGCACTTGGCTGGGGAACACACTGGCAAAATTTCAGCCTCAAAGCTTGCGTGATTGGCAAGTTGAAACACCCAGACAAACGAACACACACACACACACACAAACATACATACACACACATTCACACTGACAGGGTCGTTGCAAATATGCGTTTTTGCTGCCTGTTGCGGCGCTTTAGCGCTGCACGGCAAAAACGTATAAAAAAGTTAAAGCAAAAGAAAAATTGGTCATCAGTGGAGAATTTCCCTTAATGAAGCTGAAGCTTAGATAAAACTGGGAGCGAATATTAAACCTTGCTCGTTTTTATGCGTTTTTGCATATATGTAAATTGCAAAAACGCATATTGGGAAGAGGCTGTCTGTGTGTCGTGCGTGCGTGTCTGTGTCTGTGTGTTCGCACTTTTTGTCACCCACTTTCAACTCGAGAACCAGAAAAGCCGGAAGGCTGAAACTTTGAGGAATGTGCCTATACCATGCGCGACCCTCCCGTTTTAATTTCATCCCCCGCGGAAGCCTGGGTGCCGCGTACGGACGCTTTAAAGAAATATGCAAATTTTTTGGCGGGAAAGCTGTCTCGGGAATCGTACGAGCTAAAGGGCTGGAACTTCGTAGGGATATTTCCTGTGCATGTACTAGCTAAAGACTTCAAACTCAGCCCCCAGGTGTGCGTGGTACTCAAGTAAGAGCTTATGAAAGTTTTAGGGGAATAATTGCTAACTCGAGTACCAGGAAAGCTAGAAGGCTGAAATTTTGGGGGAATGTTCCCTATCCAAGTACAACTCAAATTTTTCAAGTTCAGCCCCAAATCATGCGTGGTACTCATATGAGGGTGTATGGAAGTTTCTGCAGGAAAATTACTAATTCGGCAACCAGAAGAGCTGGAAGGCAAAAATTTTACGGGGATATTCCCTGTTCAAGTGCAATTTAAAATTTCAAATTCAGCTTTCCAGACACGTGGAGTACC